AGACCTGGGCAAGGAGCAAGGGGGCTGTTCTAGGGAGGGGCACGGGGCTCAGGCTCAGGCTGGCCCCAGGTCATGCAGGTGGTGCGGGAGCAGCTGACCCGCACGCTGGCCCTGAAACCCACCTCCCTGGAGCTCTTCCGAACCAAAGTGAATGCGCTCACCTACGGGGAGGTACTGCGACTGCGTCAGACTGAGCGACTGCATCAGGAGGGCACGCTGGCTCCTCCCATACTGTGAGTCGGAGGGGATGGAGTCCCAGTCCTGGCCTCACCTTCCCTGCCCCATGGACTGTGCCCCTGGTCTGTCCTGCTCAGTGGCACCCCTTCTACCCAGGGAGCTGCGGGAGAAGCTGAAGCCAGAGCTCTTGGGCCTAATCCGCCAGCAGCGTTTGCTCCGCCTCTGCGAAGGGACACTCTTCCGCAAGATCAGCAGCCGGCGGCGCCAGGGTCTCTGAAGGGCAGAGGCAGGGCAGGGGGTGGCTGGGTTGGAGTCAGGGCCCGTCTCAGCACTCTGGCCCTTTTCTTTTACTGTGCAGATAAGCTGTGGTTTTGCTGCCTGTCCCCCAACCACAAGGTGCTGCAGTATGGGGACGTGGAGGAGGGTGCTGGCCAGCCGACCCCTGAAGGCCTGCCTGAGCAGCGTAAGGAGGGCGGGGACAGGGGCCAGATACCTGCTCCCCCAGACTCCCTTGTGTCCCAGGGCTGCCTGCGACCCCAGTGGTCAGCCCAAACTTTTTCCTGCAGTCCCTGTGGCCGATATTAGGGCACTCTTGACAGGCAAAGACTGCCCCCATGTCCGGGAGAAGGGCTCCGGGAAGCAGAACAAGGTGAGTGCAGTGGGGCTGGGGCAGCTCCCTCCCACCCACCCCTGTCTGCCCTGTTCCTTGCTCAGTGCCCCTTGCCCTCTTGCTTCCTCAGGACCTCTATGAGTTGGCTTTCTCAATCAGCTATGACCGTGGGGAGGAGGAGGTGTACCTCAACTTCATTGCCCCCTCCAAGCGGGAGGTGAGTGTCTGGGCCAGGCTGAGTTGGGCAGATGGACAGGGGGAACAGATGGGCAAGCCCTCACAGAGCTGGCTCGTCCCCAGTTCCACCTGTGGACAGATGGGCTGAGTGCCCTGCTGGGCAGTCCCATGAGCAGTGAGCAGACACGACTGGACCTGGAGCAGCTGCTGACCATGGAGACCAAGCTACGGTTGTTGGAGCTGGAAAATGTGCCCATCCCTGAGCAGCCACCCCCTGTGCCCCCACCCCCCACCAACTTCAACTTCTGCTATGACTGCAGCATCGCTGAACCTTGACAGTGAGGCTGGCCAAGGGCCACAGCTGCTGCCCTGTGGCAGGATGAAGGGTGGAGGGTAGAGAAGTATAGGCACCCTGACCAGCAGGGATGGCAGCAGAAATAAAGTCTGCTTGGCTTTTGGGTATGTATTGAGCCAGCTCTGAACCTTGTGGGCCAAGCCTGTGACAGATCGTGACAAAAAGTCTTTCCCTTCTGCCTTCAAACTTAGCTGGTAGATGGAATGGGGCATCAGCCAGGACCACAAACTTGGGCAACTACAGTTGAGGGGCTGGTGGGGTCAGGCTGGGGCTGTTGTCTTTCTCCAGGATGAGTCCTTAGCCTCCCTCAGTGCTGGGCCTGCAGAGAGGGATGGCCTGTGCTCTGGGGGCACCTGCCAAGGGAGAGACTACAACTGCCAGCCAGCTAAGGGACAAATGGCAGGGTGAGAGGCATTGCCCCACATGGATTCCTTCCTGAGCAGCATTAACAGGGCCTAGTCTGAAAGCCATGCTTCCAGAAGGCTCCTGACAGCCTGATCTCAGTCCTCAACCTGCGTAGCCCTGCCCAGTGTCCTTTGTGGGTCTTGGAGAACGCTGGTGAGAGGCATGAAGGGAGAGAGGTGAAGCCAGTCCTGCTTTCTGCTAAAAGGCAAGCTCAACATTCCAAAGGGCATCCCCAAGTGATGGGAGGCTATGGACTGATACTGACAAGGGAGACTTCTGTACAGGAAGGCCTGCATTCTGATTAAAACCTAACTCAGGAACATGGGTGGGGTAGGGGCCTTAGACAGGCCAGAGCCTTTGGGGGCAGAAGCAGCAAGGCATGTTGGGCTAGGCTTGAGGTCAGGCTCAGAGGTTATAGTCACAGACCCCAAGCCCCTGAGGAAAGAAGAGCCCAGCAGCCCATGGAACCCACAGGGCAGGATGAAGGCCACCACCACCTTCTGACTTCCTTCTCCCTGCCCCCCACCTCTCCTCTTCCCCATGCCTCCTCCAATACCATTTTTAATAATGTTAACCATCAACATAGCTGACCTTGAAAATTGATGAAATGGTACCCTTTCTGAAGAATGTGCTGGGGGGCATACTTGTTCCCCTCCCCCCAGCTAGACTTTGGATCCTCAGGCATCCAGGACCCGACATGTCCATGCCTAGGCACAGCAACTTCCCACTACACTTGGAACAGTCTGTTATTGAGTTCTAGGTGGAAATGGGGTACAGGAATTCCCAAGGCCATTGGTCTCCCAATACTGTTAATTCTTTATTTTTAAGAGTTGAAGTCTCACTCTGTTGCCCAGGCTGGAGTATACACTGGAATGCTCATGCCACCACAGCCTCCCACATAGCTGGAACTACAGGTGTGCACCACCACACCTGGCTCATTTTAAAATTTTTATCATAGAGATGAAGTCTCGCTCAAGTTGCCCAGGTTGGTCTCGAACCCCTGGGCTCAGACGATCTTCTTGCCTGTGCCTCCCAAAGTGCTGAGTTTACAGGCATGAGCCACCATGCCTGGCTTTGTCAGTTCTTTTTTTTTTTTGAGTTGGAATCTCACTTTGTCACCCAGGTTGGAGGGCAGTGGCATGTTCCTGGCCACCGCAGCCTTGACCTGCTGGGCTCAGGCTATCCTTCCGCCTCAGCTTTCCAAGTAGCTGGAACTACAGGCACACGCCACCATGCTGGCTAATTAATTGTATATTTATTTATTGTAGAGATGAGGTCTTGCCAAGTTGCCCAGGCTCATCTTGAACCCACAGGCTCTGGCAATCCTCTTACCTTGGCCTCCCAAAATGCTGGGATCATAGGCGTGAACTACTGCGCCCAGCAGTTTGTCATTTCGTTTTCAATGTCTCCAGTCCTTTGGTTCACGCCACCATCATCTTGGCAACAATCTGACATCTGGCCTCTAGTCTTGCCTTTCTAATCCTCTCAATACCAGCTACTCCAATTGAGTTGGAGTCTCTGTCGCCCAGGCTGGAGCGCAGTGGCACTCAGCGCAGCCTCGACCTGCTGTGCTCAGGTGATCCTTCTGCCTCAGCCTTCCAAGTAGCTGGAACTATAGGCATATGCCACCATACCCAGCTAATTTTTTGATTTATTGTAGAGATGAGGTCTCGCCAAGTTGCCCAGGCTGGTCTCGAACCCCTAGGCTCAGGTAGTCCTCTCACCTCGGCCTCCCAAAATGCTGGGATTATAGGCATGAGCAACCGCGCTGGGCCCAACTGTTTTCTTAAACACAAATCTTATCAGATTACACATGCACACACATTCTATATGCTTCAGTGTCACCCTATTGTCCATCAATTAATGGCCATTGTTTCCGCCAGTTGAGCCAGATGGGTTGCGGATGTATTGCGGTTTAGCCCTTCCAACTAGTGCCTGTGGCTTTCAGGGTTCCTGGCGCTTGGTCTGAGTTGGCATCCTCCTATACCCCATGAAGGCCTAGAACCACCCCCCAATGCAGTGCTAGCTGTGGCATGCCTATGTGTACTGCCACAATCTCATCTGCCTAGATTGCCCCCTTCCTTCCCTTCTGCCCATTTTTCATTGCCCTGATTCCTTCCTTCGCCCTGGGCCAAGTTTGTTGCTCCCCTGGGCTCCTGGTCACAGGTGCTTGTTTCTCTGTTCATATATACCCTGCATGCTGGACTGTCCCTGCCTGTTGGCTTAGTTATCTCTCCAGATGGCCTGGGAGCCAGGAGAGCTTTGAATCCCCACATGAAGCACAGTACCTGCAGGACCACCTTGGCCAGCTGCTCCTAGAAGAACCAATGAACATGTAGATGGACAAAGTGTGGGGACATATCAAATGCCAGCTGGACAGACCTTTTCAGAGCTGCCATGGAGAAGTCACTGGCGCTGTTTAAGGGACTGGACCAGATGACCTCTAATTATCCCCTCTACCTAGAGATGTCATCCTCTTTCTCTCCCCCTCCCCACGTTTTTTTCCCCTTTAAGACAGCTTCATTGATTCAGGCATCATTAATCAGTTGTTTCTGTGATCTAAGTGCACACAGTGTACCTTAGCTGCAGGGCACACCCAGGGTGGTTGAGGTGGGAGGCTCTGGAATCTCCTGCCATGTAGGGAAGAAGCTAGGCCCTAAGATGAGAGTCAGGTCAGCATGGACAAGCCCTGAGGCCAGGGTGAGGGCACCTGTGATGCTTTGGGCCAAGTCTGAAGAAGAAGCTGTGTGCTTCTTAGTGTTTTCTCCACCTTCTTAGTGTTTTCTTCAACTAAGGTGAGGCGGAGATGGACCCTTTAGTTTCAGAATTTAAGACAAGTAAGTGCTATCTGGAATTTTTAATCTTGTTTGGGTTTACAGCAAAAACCTGGACTTGGATGCTAAAACTCAGTGCTAATAGGGGGCTGGGAGAGCTCCCAGAGGGAACTGGTAGAGTACAGGCTTTAGGTCTGAGAAGTGGGCAGGCAAGAGGCACTGGGTCCACTGCCCCCAACACAAGACCCAGCCTGCTTGTGGGCCTGGCCAGGAGAGCTGGGGTCTGTGGCAGTGACATGTAGCTGGAAAGAGGCTGCTGCTGGCTGTGGGACAGACTGGGGCAGAAAGTCCCCTGGGCTGCCCTGGATCAGTCCCACCTCCAGTCCTAAACAAGGGTCTGTAGTTGAGAGAAGCAAGAGGCACTGAGTCAAATGCCAGGTCAAGTGGCCAGGGCTGGGGACTGTGGGATAGAGGACACTGAGCCGCAGGACTGGTTACTGACCTGGCCTCAGAGCGTTAGGGTTAAGTCAGCCCCTCCCACAAAGCGGGACTGGATGCAGGATACCTGCGGTAGTTGGGCCTGGAAGTGCCTGACAGCGGCCATGTTGATGCCAGGACACATGGCCACATCCAACACCCGGAGCTGCCTGCACGCCTGCCTGATGGCATCCAGTGTTCTGTGGGAGAGCCACTGGGTGAGTGCCTGACCCAGCATGGGACCCCAGCCCAGTCCTTGCAGGGTGGCTCATCTGCTCAATGTCATTAGACACACTCACTGCTCTGTGAGCTGACTACAGCTGGACAGGTTGAGGTGCTGCAGCCTCGGCCAGGAACTGGCTGCCTGGGCCCAGCCCTCGTCGCTAAGATGGCTGCAGTGACTCAGTGCCAGGCGCTCCAGGCTGGGACAGCCCCTGGCCACAGCCACCAAACCCATGTCTGTGAGTGCCGGCAGCAGGCTCAGTGACAACTGCCTCAGTTGGGGGAACTGGAGCACCTGCAATGATTGGGTGGGAGTCAGTGAGCCCAGAACCCGGGGCCCTTCCAGGTTCCCCACTCCCAGCCAGGGAATGACCATAGGCGGCAGAAGCCAGTGAGAAAGGAACTCCAAGGAACTTTTTTCCAAGAAAAAGTGGTTTGGCCCAGGTCCCTGGCTCCAGCTCTACAATCCTTAGCCTACCCACACCCTTGCCCCACACCTTGGCCAGACTGGCATCAGTCAGCTTGCTGCAAGCTGTGAGGTCCAACTCCTGCAGGGCCTGTAGCATGAGCAGGGAGGGGCCCTGTGGCTCGGGACAGGGGTCCTTCAGGTCTGAGGCCCGGTGCTCCAGCTCTAGATGTGACTGTGGGAAGAAGCCCTGCTTCTTAGGTTCTTCCTGAGTTTGCCCTTAAAAGTTCCTAAAGAGAGACTTGGGAGGGGCAGGAAGGCAGCTGAGCCCAGGGGCCACTCCACCCTCCATAACCTCAAGAGTCCCGCACCTGGGGCCCCTGTGCAGGCTCCTCACTTGGTTCTTCCAGCCCTAGAAGCCCCCAGTCACAGAGCTCCTTGCACCAAGCCAGGCGCAGAACTGAAAGGTGGGTGAGGTAGGTACAGATGGCCTGCATGGTACGGTTGGTGAGGGCCACACAGGAGGACAAGTCTAGCACCCTGAGGCTCAAGCCCAGCACTGGGATCACGGAGAGTACTGAGGCGTCCTAGGAGGGAGGTAGGGAGGAGAGAGGGTAGAGCAGCAACCTGTGCCTGGGCCACCAGGTTTGGCAGGGGTTGCTAGAAAGTGTCTGTCCACAGGCAGGAGGGAGGCAATAGGGAGCTACCAAAGGACCCAAGGAGGGAAGCAATATGTTCCCTGTGCTGAAGCAGATGGGAGCAGGATGGGCATGGGGTGGGAGACCCAGAGGAGGCTGCTGGAGAACAAAGGCCTAAGCTCTGACTGGGGCAGGAGAGATGCAGGTGGAAATATTTTCCTTTCTTTTTTTCTTTTTTTTTGAGTCAGAGTCTCACTGTTACCCAGGCTGAAGTACAATGGCACGATCATGGCTCACAACAGCCTCAAACTCCTGGGCTCAGGCAATCCTGCTTCAGCCTCCTGAGTAGCTGGGACTACAGCATGAGCCTGTCTAATTTTTTAAAATTTTTTGCCGGGCTCGGTGGCTCAGCCTGTAATCCCCGCCTTTGGGAGGCTGAGGTGAGTGGATTGCCTGAGCCCGCGGGTTCGAGACCCGCCTGGGCAGTGAGACCTCATCTCTACAATAAATCAAAAAATCAGCCGGGCGTGGTAGCGCATGCCTGTAATTCTGGCTACTTGGAAGGCTGAGGCGGAAGGATCGCCGGAGCCCAGCAGATAGAGGCTGCGGTGGCCGGGAGCGGCCACTGCACTCCAGTCTGGACAACAGAGTGAGACTCCAACTCAAAAAAAATAAAATAAAAATTTTTTTGTAGAGATGCGGTCTCTCTGCATTGCCTAGGCTAGACTTAAACTCCTGGGCTCAAGCAGTCCTCCTGCCTTGGCCACCCAAAGTGCTGAGATTACAGGCGTGAGCCCAGGTGGAAATTTCTGCCTAAACTCCCAGTCCCTGCTGAAGAGGTAGGCTGAGGCAGCCCTCTGACCACAGTTCATTGGACCAGGGGTGGACAGCTGACCCTGGCTGACCCAATCAGATATACTCCCTCTAGAATGTGAACCAGAACTGTGAAGTCACTGTCAGGGTAGTGCTGCCACCTGCCAGGAGAAGTGGGGGTTGGGGAGCAGGAGCTGAGGGCAGAGTAGAGGAAGCTGGTTTATAGAGACACAGAGGGGATCTGCAAAGGTACAGGAATGTATGACCTGGGAGACAGCAGCTAAGAGATGGAAAGCGAAGTTGGAGCAGGGCAGGAAAGAGAGGCGCTTGCAGGTAAACAAGGTGGAGGTGGTGTTTAGGTGGGAATGCCCTGGTCACATGGATAAGATGAAGGAATAATCCATTAAGGAGGGACAGACTTACACTGCCATGACAGGGACACTTCCCAGAGGGGAAAAGCTGAACCTCAGCCAAGAACTGATCATGCTCTTCCCGGGGCTTTCTTCAGTGCCCTTCACTGCCTTTCTTTTTTTTGTTTTTGTTTTTTGAGTTGGAGTCTCACTCCGTTGCCCAGACTGGAGTGCAGTGGCCACTCCCGGCCACCGCAGCCTCGACCTGCTGGGCTCCGGCAATCCTTCCGCCTCAGCCTTCCAAGTAGCTGGAACTACAGGCACGCGCTACCACGCATGGCTAATTTTTGACTTATTGTAGAGATGAGGTCTTGCCAAGTTGCCCAGGCGGGTCTCGAACCCACAGGCTCAGGCATCACTCCCTTTTTCCAGCCTTACCAGCCTCCAGAACACCCATCCTCAATACCCCTCCTCAGTCGTCAGTGGTAGGTCGCTGAGCCCTTGGCATGTGAGATGTTGGGCGGCCTGGTCTCTTGTACCTGCTGGACCCAGAGTGGAGACTTTGGGAAGGTGTGCTCGCAACAGCTTAATCTGTCTAGGTTCCTGTTCTCTTCAGGACTAGTCCCAAGTTCAGTTCTAGCTAATAATTCTTGGACACAAAAACTGGGAAGTCCCTCCTTGATGCCACAGGCCCAGGTCCCCCCATCCCCAGAGAGGAAGACAGTGATGGTGTGCTCACCTTCAGTGAAGAGCAATAGGCCAGACTGAGGGAGGTCAGATGGGGTGGAGATCCATGCACGGAGCCCAAGGTCTGGGCCAGTTCCCGCCCGCTTACCAGGCAGCACTCAGCCATGTTGAGGCTCTGCAACTCCCGCAGGGCCCCCAGGGCTGTACATCCCACATCTGTCAGCCGCTGCAGCTTCCCCAGGCCCAGATGCCGCAGGTGCCGCAGGCCCCGGCTCACAGCCAACAGCGCCCCATCAGTCAGTTCCGAGCAGCCACTGAGATCCAGGGAGGTAAGGCCTGGTTGCTGGCGGCACAGGGTGGCCACGGCCTCTGTGGAGAGGTCCCGGCAGTTGTGCAGGCTCAGCTCCTGCAAATGTAGCCCAGCTACCTGGCCCAGGGCCTGCAGGGCCTCAGGTGGCAAACCAGTGCCACTCAGGTCCAAGGCATGCAGCCTGCCAGCCCGCTCCTTCACGAATCGCAGCAGGTTGTGGAAGGAAAACTGGGAGGGGGACGCATCCTGGGAGCCAATGGAACCCCGGACCAGGCTTAGCTCGAAGGTGAGGTGGCAGTAGGCCAAGGAGAGGCGCTCCAGGCTGGGGGCACAGCTGCTGAGCCGATTGAAGCTGAGGTCCGCCAGGTCCCGCAGGCCAGCCAGGCTTAGCTCACGGAGTCCACTTAATGCCTGCCGGACGCTCTGTGCTGTCTCAGGCTGAGCCAGCAGCATGCCCGAGGTGAAAAGGCTATTGCAGCCACTGAGGTCAAGGATACGCAGGGTCGGGCAGCCCAGGATCAGGGCCACAAAGGAGGCCTCTGTGGGGCTGCCCCCACCCAGGCACAAACTCTGTAGGTGTGGGCCCAGATGGTAGGCCACAGATTGCAGTACCTTGTGCGAAGCCAGTGAACCATCCAGATTGGTCAGGCTGATGCAGGAGATGCCCCTGAGGCCCAGGCTCTTGATGGCCGAGAGGGAGGCAGAGGACACAGGGATGTTGTATCGCACATTTGTCTAAGGAACAGCAGTAGGCATAGGGTTAACCCTCTAGCTTCAGAGAATGCTAGGCATTAGATCTGGTACTAAGTCACTGGCCAGAGGTTAAAGGAAGGTCAGGAAGGGCCCTTTCACAGTGGGGGGGGACCCACTGTGGTGTGTAGTGTCATGTGCACATTTGTAAGCATGTGGGGCTGCCTAGTATTTGTCCCTGGATGCTTCCGAGTTCAAGATATGCTGGTGAGCCCTGCAGCACATCTCTGAAAGGGTTATCTGTCTGTCCAGGTGTGAAGGAAAAAGTGTCCTATTTCTGTGGACAGGAGCAATCTAAGAGGTGCTGAGGAAGTTGAGCTGGCCCTGCCACAGAGGAAAAAGGGAGGAAGAATGGGGAGTGCACAGTTAGAGTGGGTGGGACCGGAGACAGGATCAGGGCTCAATCATAGGAATAAACTGGCTTGTGTAGGAGTTTGGGAGCACCCAGCTGAGGAGATTTTTTTTTTTTTTTTTGGGT